ACATTATTAAAATAACTTTTCCTTGCAATTATTCAGATTCTCGCGGAAATTGTATTAGAGAGAAGCTCAACTTTTCCAGTTTTCTAATCAAACCCGATTAGCCCAATTGTTTACTTAACAGATTCCATCATCTGATAAACCGCAAATTTCCCCTCCAAATAAACAAGAAAAAGAAATATAATCCAAATCTGAAAAGACTGAAATTAGAACGAACTTCGCCGAAATTTTGATTCATAGCTCGCCAGAGAAACATCACGGAAAACATAAACGGAGATCGGTAAATGAATGAAGCAAACTTACGAGAAGACTAAATCCGGTGACGGTGGAGAGAGAAGTGGCAATGGCGGAGCCGGAGAGCGCGAGCTCGCCGAGATGGCCAACCATCATCGAGGAAGTGACCTGAACCAAGTACTGTAACAGAGTCACCCCACCATCGGCCCTCGCCTCAGAAGTAAAATCACCCCCCCATCCTTCCTCTCCAGCAGCCCTTCCTCCATTTCTCTGAAACGCTGCCGGAGAGGATACTTGACGAAGGATGGCTGGCCGGTGTTGATTGTGTGCATGATAGTGGGGATGAAGGGGGCGAACACGATTTGGTGTCCGAAGCAGATATTTGCTTAGGGGAGGGGTATTATCGACGAAAGCTCCCCAGAACGTTGGGACGTAAGGTGCTCTCCGCGGCCCGCTTTCAACAGGAATCACGTCCCGCTACGAGCAGGACGCCGCGCCAAACAACGACCAATTGCGGGGCCAGGCCGCGAAGCGATCCTGCCACGGCCCCAAACGGACCCTATATTCATTGAAACAAAGTAATATCAGTTAAAATTTTCAAACATATTAGCTAAGTTCACTTTATAGTGATATTTAACTTATTGCAGATTGTTTGTGTGTTTGTTTTAACAAAATGATTATACTTTTATTGATAAAATCAATAAAGATGAATTGCTAAACTAGTTTAAATTATATATAAAACTATTCAATTAATCTCCAAAACAATATTTTTATAATGTCAAGAATATAACTGTAATAAACAATTTTTTAGATTCGGATAAAATTTGGACGAATAAAATGTAACTCAATTTTCGCACTCTTCGGTTTTCAATTGAAACAATTTTATAAAATTCTATTTGAAAAGTCGACTAATTCCAGATAAAGTATTGTACGTAAATTATGAATGGTTTAAGAGAAATAAAATGTTGAAGTTATAAGTTTAATTAATTTGATTAACCTTAATTATTTCCTTAATCCTCAACATTGCAGTCCACTACACCTTTTTTATTCCTTTCGTGTGTCGAATGAGTTCAGAGCTCTCAAAATCTCCTCCCCTCTGCCAATAGCCCTTTTCCCCTCTCGGTTTCACTCCCGCACCCTCCCTTCCCGTTCCATTGAGCTCTGCAGAAGCTCTGGGGAGGGGCTTCGACCATAGCTCGCCTCGCAGACGCAACCAAAAAAGGTCGAGCGGCCACCTGGTAAGCAGAGATCCACTCCTCGTTTCCGATTTTCTCTCCCGATCCTTCCCCCTTGCTGACCCTTTTCCTTTCTTGCACAAAGCTACGAGCCGCAAGATGCAGTTTAGGGCTTCGAGATAATTTTTGTAAGTGTGAATCTCTTTTTAACGACATTTGAGGCAATCATTTTCTTCCTTTTTGGTTAGAAAGGTCAAAATTCTTTTGCGAGCTTTCATATGAGTTCTAGAATATATCAGCATAAGGGAAGCGCAGTTGGAGGTGATAGAAAATAAATTTGGCATCTTTTCTCTTAAGGTATGTTTTAGTAAATCATTTATATTTTTGGTTAAATTACTTTATTAGCTAATATATCTTTAAATTCTAAGTTAATTGTGAATTCCAAGTTATTTGTTCGGAGCAACAAACTCGAGGCGAGGGTATGGACTTTCATTATAAAGCGACCCTGTAAATTTCAGGTAAATTATTCCTAAGTTAAGAAGATTAATTTGATTGATTAAAATTATTTAAATCTTAAAAATTTAAATATTATGTTTCATAGGTTGTTAAGCTCAACTTAGAAGTCACTACAATCTCCAACTAACTGTCGAAGATTAAGTTTAGCGTGACAGCTGAGGTGAGTAATTGCATTTCTAAATTTCAGTAATATTTTTTATTTCAATTTATATGTTTGACTTCATGTATGCCCTCTTTCAATCAGATCCTTCATATTGATAGAACAGATATGCACAATAAGCATAATAGGAAAAGATGTACATGCATGAAAAATGTGTGTGAGATTAATAATATTTAGATAGACATTATATGTAAGATAGACATGTAGAAAATATATGCTTAATATAAGTAAGCGATATGCATGAGATAGATATAAGTAGGAGATATGCATGAGATAGAAAGGTAAATGATATGAAAAATATGTCTGATAAATAGTTGTACAGTGCATGTTAGTGGATGCATAAAGACGTCTAAGAATAACGTATGTATGAAAAATGAAATATCTTAACGTGCATGTGTATGTTTAGAGAAGGATTTTACCTCCTAGTGGTGCAAGCATGGAACATAGTGTACCCACGCACAAAGAGTTTTTCTTCCATCCTAGACAATTGTGATGATTAGATCACTAACCACCGCAATGATGGGATAGTAATGCTCAATGGCAAGTAGAATAAATCTTAACTTCCTAAATAATTGTAATGTTTACATTGCTAATTGTTGTGCCGATGAGATAAAATTGGTCAGACACATGTAATAGTATTTCCACCCTAGATAATTGCGACGTGTAGATCGTTAACCGTTATACCAACGGGAGCTGACGGGGCAATAACGGCCAAGCGTGTATTAAGTTTTTTTTACAGTGATTTTTACAGAGACATATGAGTATATAGAGTATAAAGTAATTGTAAAGTTAAGATAAGTGTATATAAAATATTAGTATCAGTTCATTTAGAAAATGTTATTGATGTATGCATTGGCATATATCATATTACTTATAAATATAAAACAGATTGTTCATAAAAATATATCAGGTTGGTTATACACATATGTCAGATTGCTTATAAATATAGATATCAAATTGCATATAAATAAATATGAAACATCAGCATATTATAAGATTTCTTATAGACAAATATATATATTGTAATTTTTTCCTTGGATTACTGTAGTTTGATAGTATGATTACTCATGAGTTATATTTAGATAACTCATTATGTTACTTTTAGATTATTTCTACATTTTAAACATTTGAACAAGATGAATAAAAGCAGAGCAAATGTTTACAAAGGTTTACAAATGACGAGAACAACAGCATGAAAGGTATAATTTTTACTTGTTAATTTTAGTGACTTTTATTAGTGCCTCTTTCAAGTATTATTTAAATATGAACCCAAATGAACTCAAACAAACTTTAAGTATAAGATATAGCTTCAAATGAGCCTAATTAAGCACTTAAAGTCTATTTCGAAACTTCAAAATGTTAACTGAAGTATCAATTGATCATGATGAGAAAAACATAATTAGCTCAATATCATTTAATACTAAGAAAATGGTATATAATTAAGAGATTCAACATGAATCATCCAATATATTATTTAGGAGAATGTGGCTTGGGCTTCTGCCACAAGTAAAAAAAGGGGCATTTTCATATATACCACCAATTTTTTATGTATTTACATATACAACGCCTAAAATTCGTATTTACACCCATGCATACACCCAAATCAAAATATATTTTATGCATAAATTTATGACACCAAAAGTGTTATTAGTGAATATCAAACTTTGCGTGAATGATATATGAATACATTCGATTTCTGTGGTATGCACGTAAATTTTTCTATTAAATTGTAGCTCATATGTCCGGATTATTTAATGTATTTACATATCGAACACCTAAAATTCGTATTTGCAGTCCTGTGTATTAGGGGTGTAAACAAACCTAACACGAATGAACATAGCTTGTGTTGATGTTCGGTTCGTTTGAAATTTAGTTTATTTGAAATAAACTCGTGTTCGAAATTATTCGTAAAGTTACTGTTCGTGTTTGTTTCTTAACGAACGAGCCGAACATAAGCTATTGGCGAACGACGAGCGAGTTTGACATCGCTACTATTAATATATATAAATAATATATTATATTAATTATATAACTTATACTATATAAACATATAATATCTATATTTGTATATTACTAATATAGTATATTAATTTATTATATATTATTATTTATAAAATTTAATTTTTTAAAACATCATAAATTTTTTATATATAATTATTTTAAATTATTTAATATTTCGGACAATAACGATTCGAACATGAACAAACGTATTATTGTTCGTGTTTGGTTCGTTTATCTAACCGAACGAGAAAAATTTGTTCACTTTCATCTCGTTTACTTATCGAACGAATTGAATACGAACACATTGACGAACTGAACACGAACTGTTCGCGAGCAACGAGCTTTTTTGACAAGCCTACTGCGTACGCTGAAATCAAAATTTTAACATTACATAAAAAAATATTACCATCATTATTTTTTAAAAAATAAAATTATATGTTTATGCACAAAATTTATGACAAAAAAGTGTTATAATTGAATATCAAGCTTTGGGTGTCTAATATATATATGTAAACACGAGAATTGCGTGGTATAAGTGTAAATTTTCTTAAAAATTATAGTTCATCTGTCCAGATTAGAACGAGTACGGGCTGGATCCACGGGCTACGGAGGTTTTGTGTTTGCTGAGCCCAATCTCTGGCATAGAAAATACCCAGCTGGCCCGACAGCATCGGAGGTTTTGTGTTCGCTGAGTGCTCTTGTTTGCACCGTGGAATGTAGGCTGGATTGATCATGATAGCTGGACGTAATAAAAATCATTCGGTCCCGTCCGGTCCGACCTTTTTGGGGAATTATAGCTCCGGTTCGGTTGGAGCCGTTATCTATCTATGCCAGTTTGCTCCACAAATATACTGTGTATTCTTTTTTAATGTATAGAAAATTGAGTAGTAATAATCCAATATTACTGACTTTTTGGGCAAAAGTTTAGCTTAATGATACCCAAATTTAAATTAATCAAAATTTGCCTGCATAATTAATATAATAAATTCTGAAATGATAATTGTTGAATCATGATTAATTTGTGAATTTACACCTAAGGAAAGAGCTAGATAAAGAGGAAAGAGTGTGTGTGTGTGTGTGTGTGTGTGTGTCTCACTCTCTCTGTGTGTGTGTGTGTGTGTCTATATGTGTGTGTGTGTGATGGTGTGTGTGTGTGTCTATATATATGTATGTGTATATATATATATATATAATATATATGTAATTAATAATTACATTTAGACATTGAGTAATCTCTTGCTGTTCTACTTTGTCTTATTATGAGAGGCATGTAAATGATATTATCTTTGGTGCATTATCTTTTGATGGTGTCACATTTCATCTTTTATTCCTAGTGCACTATATATCAATCTATTTGACTCATTTTGAGAGATTCCCATAAGGCAAGTCTAACCTCTAAGAAAGTTGGCTTCTCTTAATGCTTGATCAGACCCTTCTTTTAGAGTTATCTCATGGAGGGGTACCTCTGCCATAAGATCTACACTTGGTGATTCATATTTGGCAACTAGTACTTGACAATTCGTTGGTCTTAGTTTAGTGGATTTGGTTGAGAAATCTAAAAAGTCGCTTAATGCCCATAAGTCCAATATGATCCTATTTTGGTCATACACTAATAAAAATTATAATTAGGGTTGTAAATGAACTAATGCACTTGATGAAGTACTTGAACTTGACTCATTAATACTTGATCATGTTTCTTCAAATAAGTAAATAAAATTTATGATCACTTTTTTTAAAATTCAAATAATAAATGAATTAAATTTGAACAGACAAACACATTTACTAATGCTCACCAATAAACTCATTTTTTATTTATTAAATTACTCGCTGAAAGCTTTATATTTATATGATAGATTATTTCAATAAGATTTAATTAACTAAAACTAATTCAACAACATATTTAATAGTAGTATATTATAATTTAATATCAATATTTATATAGACTAATTACACACAATTTTCATATGGAGAGCAAGAGAAAATAAATTTTAAAGAAGATTGCAAAACTATCTCAAATCTTTGAAAACTCCGTCCAAAAAAAGTTGGAGCTAGTTAATATTAGGAAGATTTACATGCATACCGCTCATATAGTATGTATTTACATATATAACATCTAAACCTCAATTTTTATATGCATGCCACATTTCCTATATGTATAAAAATGTGTATTTTACTTTTTTTAAGTAAAAAAAATGGTATTTTTGATGTGATAAAAAATATTTGGTTTGTTTAAATATAAAACAAAGAAAAATTTAGATGTAAAATAAATAAAAACAAAGGAATTAGGAGTTATGTATAGAAATGACCCCCAATATTAAGCTTAAAGGTCTCATCAGCTTCGAACATGTGTGTCAACAACTATCATTAGAACCAACAAACATTGAGCGTAAACAAATTATATTTAATAATATCAAACAGAAATCAATTCAAGTAAAGCGATTAAATATTTAACAAATCTTTTTTTTATTGTATTTAATAAGCCATTCTAATTAAAAAATTAGCTAGTGAAAATCCATCACTTTATGCTTATTTGGACGATGTGTTCATATATCCTCAATGGTTACACATTACATAGCTTTGCTCCAAGTGCAATGACTTAAACCTAATCTAGTAACAAATTATGACTAAGGAAATAATAAAAAATAGTGTAGTAACAATAAAAATCCATAGGTACCTTGTACACCTTAGTCCAACTAAACATGCATCTCTAACTATAATTGATGTTACATCACTTAATTTAGGATTTTGTTAGGGCTACTCTCTGTGAGATAATGCTACCAATTTATCTAATATATAATTAGATGACTAAAATTCATGCTAAATTAAGTAAATTGACAAATAAATTCTAATTTTTATAAGCATTTTTTTAATAACTAGAGTCAACCCACCATTTAACCCAAAAAAAGAAGGGCAATATAAAATAGTTAATCATGTAGCAATGCAATGAAATCAAATGAGGAAATAAATAAATGGAACAAAAGTGGATAATAGAGTAGCATGGAGAGAATAAAAAAAGACTATTGTCTACATATCCTAAGAATCTTAAGGAAAAAATTTCCTTTCATGATTCTATACATTTTGAAGGTGCAGTCTAACTGTACGAGGAAAAAAGTAACTTGATTAGGCTGGTCACTTTATATGTTATTGAAATTAAATTGAAGGTAGCAACTAATTGCATTATTTGCACTTAATATTGAAAATAATTTTTTTTATAGGAAGCATTGTAATTAATATTATAATAATAATATTAAAAATAGTCGTAGTCTTAATTTTTTTTAATATATGAAATAAAAAATTACTAGATCCTTAATTAAAGCACAAAAATAGTATTTATAAGACAATGGAGTTGAGCTTATGATGTATTTTTTTGGGAGAAATTAAGCTCTTGTGACTACTAAGTCAGAAACAAATACTAGATTTCAGTTAAAGATCAAATTTTTGTTTCCTCCTCCATAGATCAAGCTCTTCTCACCAAAAAGGGCATCTTGCATATTCTTTCCTGGGCTCTGTAGCTTTCGGCCTAGGAAAGCAGACTTATTAAAAGCCCATTTCAATATGTACGGCGCGCCATGAACAACCAAGAGGGTGCAGAACGTGCCACATGGCGTGCTGTTATTTATCTGACGGCACAGAAAACTCTTTATGTGACTTAACTTTTTTATCGTATGCCAATGTATGATTAGTTGTTAGCACTATTCTGCTGCAAGTAGTATTTTTATAAAATTTTAATAAATTTTATAATATATCATGTAATTCGATCTTTATACCTATTAATGGATCATTCTATCATGTTAATATTTTATTTGGTATGTTACATCAATATAGGGCTGTCAAAAAAAGTTCGTGGTTGGCTAACAGCTTGTTAAGTAGTTCGTGTTTGGCTCGTTTATTTAACTAACGAACTAGCCGAATACAAACAAATTTTTAAAGCTCGAATTATAAATAAGCCGAACATGAACAGCTCTTTGTTCGCTCGTGTTCGGCTCGTTTTAGCTCGAAATAAAAAAAAATTATATAATCATTTATATAAAAATATTCTATACATATTATTTATATAATAATATATTATATATATTTATATCTAAGTTTAAATTGTAGTTGCTCTTGTGATAATGGGGTTATGCACCTTGTTTTGCATACATTTGGTTCAGGTTCGAATCCAATACCAATATCTGTTTTTTTCAGTTTAATTTTATCGAGCCGAACATGAGGCAAACACGAGCACGAATATTTAAATCGAGCTGAACACGAACAAACTATTCACTAGTCGATTCACTAGTCGTTTTTGAACACCAACAATTTCGAACGAGCCGAACACGAGCTCGCTCAAGCTCGGCTCGTTTTGCAGCCCTATCTACAAAATATATATATTTATTTTGATATAAATGTAGAAGTTTAGTAGGGTAAATTTTGACTTCTTTTAAGGAATAATTCGGTTGGTTCAATCTTCTAAATTTTATAATTAATTTAATCCCTTTAACTAATTTGTAAACCAAATCGTTTGAGTTGAGCTCATGCACATACTAAATATAAAAAAGTATTATATATTAATTTAGTTCACAACTTTGACTTTTCACTGTTAATATTTTGTTGAATTTAAATTATTAGAAATTGGATTAAAGTTTATAACCGAAGACAAGCTTTTTATAATATTTACATATATAATGCATACAATCACATTTTCTAATAAAAGGATGGTGAGAGAAATCTCAACAGAGCACATAAGAAAACATCAAGATGATCTTGAAATTGCACGCATTAATAGTTTGATTAAACAACTTAAATTTCAAATAAAAGTTGAACGCTTGAACCTAATTAGCTTTCTTTTTTTTTTTTCTTTTTTTTTTTTTTTTTTCATATCTACAAGTGGCCCCACCAATACTCCATCAAAAAACTTCTCATTCTCACTTTAATATCTTTTTCGCTATCTCTTGTTGGAAAAACAATCAGTTCTGTGGGTCTACATATGTATTTAAATATGTATTATTTGTGATACATCGTCAATAAGTTTTCATCGTTTGACATAAATCTTGAGGCATTTAACACAGATCTCAAAGCATTTTTGGAGCTAACAAAATTCTGATTTAAATTAAAAATCATCTAGTTCTAATTTCAGATAGCTTATAGTCAAACTAGCAAGCTCGATAAGATGAATCCACTGACATCAAAATTGATCCAATCTAAGTCAAGTCAAGCCAACATCAAACCATTAAATAGCTTTTGGACACTTCGGGAGGACAAATGGAGGGTTAAATGAATTCCAAATATGACAAGCTTCTAGTAGAATCGAGCAGCCCAAGATCACTCAATTTCAACATTATTAAGACACATATGTTTAAAAAATGTTGTATGGTAGAAAGAATTTTGATGGGTTGATTCAGATTTCTGCCTTATTTACAAAATATATCACTCTCTGAATCGACAAAACGAAAAATAGAATGAAAAAATTAACACCAGAAAATAGTAACACAGCGGAACACACAGATTTATGTGGTTCGGCAAATTGCATAAGTCCGCGGAGTTGCAGAGGATTTTACTACTTGAGGAATTTACACCAATCAATGGTCTCGACTTACAAGAGGAATCTCTCATTTCGTTGCTCTCTCTTTTCTTCTCTCTCTGCACCGAGATACACCGAAGAAGCTCTGCACCGAAATACACCGAAGAAGATAAACTTACAAGAGGATCCCTGAAACCCTGAAACCCATAGAGATAGTTCTCACTTAATCTGCAG